TTGAGTGCATTTTTTTAGAGAGAGAAATGTGAAGACTGAAGTGAAGAGTCTTTGTTGAGATTTGGTTGTGGGGTGATTGATGTTTTGACTACTTAATGCTGACGATGAAATTATGTCTGTTGCAAATTTTAATTATGTTTCTTTTTAGTTTTTANGATTGCATTCATTTAACCTCAAAAGTTACATTCCAATTGCCAACTGGCAATAATTCCTGCTAGCTTTACAAACCAACTACAGCCAAACAGGAAGGGGTTGAAACCAAACAAAAGAAGCTTCACCCTCAACAGCAAAATTAGCCAACTTTTTACAAGGAGCTAAACTCCTACCAGAAATAACTTTAAAGACACAAGAAGAAAACAAATTAAACAAAAGGTAAATATCCTCAGCTATAACCCCTGCTGCTCCTTGAAACTTCTTTTTAAAAGTCAACATGTTAGCTATGGCCTGAGAATCGACCAGAATAATTACCTTCTGCCAAAGCTCCTGCCTAGCATTCACCATAGCCAATCTCACTGCTAGAAGTGTGTCTTCAACTGGATTTGATTTAACATCCCTAAAAGAACACCAAGCTCTGAGATTAACTTTATTTTCATCCCAAGCTAACCCACCTAAACCAACACCTTTCATATATTAGTTACCTCTTATTGTATTTATATATTAGGATTGATAATCACATTTTAATATCTATAGTAATATAAAGAGGTTGTTGGAAAATATTAAAATAGTAACTTTGACTTAAAAAATAAGGTGTTGACTTACTAATATAAGTAATATTCTACAACCCACATGCCATAATGATTTTTAAGAATTTTGGTAAAATTTTTTAGCCGAAAATTTAGTAAGGGGTTCGAATTTGTTAGCATCATTTTTTTTTTGTAACAACCTCCACAATATGATCGGATTCTTTGGTCTTTTTTTGGTAATAAATTTCATAATTATTTACAAAATCTCTAGCCGAAAATTTGGTAAGGTGTTCAAATTTTTNCTTCACAATATGATCAGATTCTTTGGGATTTTTTTAACAAATTTCATAAAAAGATTGTTGGAAACATACATAAATAGTAATTTTGACTTCAAAAATAAATTGTTGACTTACTTTTATAAATGACAAATTAAAACATACACGTGATAAATGGTTCAAAAATTGGATATTTGAATGGTATATTGCCAAGCCATCTTATTTGGTAACTAAATTGATCCTCTTATTATTTCCTACCTGAATCCATGTGAATCTTTTTAAGATTAAAGATTTTTAGGTTTTCAAAACTCACATCAATAAATATCCCATAAAATTGGAAAGCATTTGAATTTGAAAAATGTGTGATTTGAATGTGATATACATATTAAAAAACGTATCAGTACATTTTTTGTAAACAAATTAAATAATTTTGGTGATTAAATTTAAATCAATTGATATCCCATACATAATTTGTGCATATTTAATTGAATCTGATATCTTATTTTCTTTTTGGAAAAAAATAATTTTATATGTAAAAACTAATTTGTCCTATTTTTTTTATTAGTTTATCACATCTATTATGAAATAACGTGCAATCTCATATTTCTTACGGGATTCACACCGATTTTGTATCTTTTTTTTAATTAATAGATTTAATGTTTTTTTTAAATTCAAGTTTTTTATATTTCAAACACAATATACAACACATTCATATCCCTTTTAATCTAACTAGTTCGGTATTCGTGTGATGCACGAGAGCATTTATTACCTATTTATTTTTTAAAAGGTATTTTTGTATTTAAATTGTCTCATGCCATTAAAAATTTCATGAAAATGAAATTTATATGTTATTAAACACTTTCTTATGTACAACATTATTGATTTGATTCTTTGGCACGTAAAGTACTACATAGGTGTTCGAATTTATCAAAAATTACATATTATTAGTTATTAGTTAACAAATTTTAAAAAAATTAAAAGATCTTATTTATTAAACAAAATTAAAGTATAATTTTTTAGAGATTTTCACTCATTATTTATTTTAAATCTAATTCTAGATTTCAATTAAGAAAAAATGAAAAGAATCATTAGTTACTCCTGGAAACGAAATCGATTTTTCTACCAATAAACCGATTTTTTTATCGAACAAATTGATCCGAATTTTTTTTTAAACCAAATAAAAAAATCATCAATTTTTCCTAAAAATGCAATCGAATTTTCCTAACATTGCACCGATTTTTGTACCAAACAAATTGAATTGAAAATAATTCTAATAAAAAATTAAAATAAATTGTTAATGTTTATGCAACTGTCTCTTTCCTAAAGAAAATGATATGAACTTAATCCAAAAAAAATGATATGAACTTACCAAAATCTCGGTAAAACATGGTTAAGAAAAAACATAAGAATTTAAAAAAATCGATACATTTAAATTTTCAAAAGTTGCACACAATTTTTCCTAAATAATTGGATAAGGTGACTTTAAATATCAATGATGAACCGCTTTTGTTACCAAAAAATATGGATACAATTTCGAATGTACATCCCGTCCAACTATCAGTTTTATTTTAAAATAAAAATTGCATGTGGCTTTATCCAATTTACACAATTTTTTTGAAAGAAAAAATTATTCAATAAGATTGGAAGAATTGGTCAAGAATTATACAACTATTTGCTTCCTAAATTTGTATCCAATTTGCACGGTTTTTAAATTAATTTGTATTTAGAGTTGTTTTCATAAATAATTGACACATTTTTTGCATAAGAATCTCCAAATTTGTTACGAAGAAAGATATGATTTAAATTTTGGTAAAAAAATAAAATATGATACGAAAAAAATGGGATTCAAATTTTACCATAAAAATCTCCAAATTTGTTACCAAAAAAATAGGATTTAAATTTTGTTACTAAAGGTTCAAATGTGTTTTTTTGAAATTTCCATTAATAGTAAGTCAAACATTATATTTAAATCAATGTACTGTAAACAATAATATTAAATCAATGTACTGTAAACATGAAACTCAATGTTTTATTTCATAAAAGTTATTTTACGATTATTTACTCATTGCACAAAAATCAAAATACATACTAGTTTTGGAATTGTTAAGGTAAGAGTTTTTTTACGTAGTTATGCGTACAACAATTTTGTTTGTGGATGGAATTGGAATTTTGTTTGTGGATGGAATTGGACGTTGGCGACTTGGTTTAGTGCATTGGAGTGGATGTGAACAAAAATGTGTAGCTTTTAAGTGGAATAATTCACAATTTTTTAATTTTTATTGCAACTCAGATCAAAAGAAAAAATATTTTAAGAAAAAATCAAGGAATTTATTTCTAAAGACTTTTTAAGACTTTAAAATTATTTTATTTAGATTTTTAAAAATATTTAAAAAATATTGGTGTATTTAATTTAGACTTTATAAACTTTTAAAAATCCCGAGGTATTCATTTGAGATTTTAAAAATTTTTACAAAATCCTGAAATATGTAACTCCCGAGATATTCATTTGAGATTTTAAAAAATTTTACAAAATCCTGAAATATGTAACTTATTTGAGACTTGAAATTTTAAGACTTTTTGTTGAAATTTCAAAAGAAAAAACCATATACGAGATAATACTCCAAATCTCACCTCCAAATTTAAAATTTCATAGAATTACTCATAAATCTGAAAATTTTAAAAAATATCAAACCTAAAAAATTTTCGAAATGTCACTCAAAATCCCAAACCAATACACGTCTAAATTAAAACTAGAAAGAAAAGATGAATAAACTTTAAATGAAATTGGAAAAATTGAAACACAGTCGCCATGAGAAAAAAGTATGGTTGATTATCTAAGAGCATCTCCAATGGAACTGTTCCCAGATAAATAATTAGCATTGGATAGACACCGTCTGTTTATTATTTAGTCCAATGGGCTATTTTGTTGGCAGTGTTATGATGACATGTTGATAACATCGTTAACCCCACTGTTTACATCTAGAAGGTGAGTTCGACAGACACATCATCAGATATGATGAGAAAACAAACTAAAAAATAGGAAAAAAAGTCGTGCAAATATTATTTAATTTTAATTTTGTGTGGATGAAAACCATTCTATTAAATTTGAAATAATTAATCGTATGTTGCAACTACAGTTTAATATTTTTTTAGTAATTATACTTTCAACATTTTAAAAAACTAAACTACTTTAACATTTATTTTATTTCGTGAGATAAAAGCCAATTATTTTAATTCGAAGTGTCTATAATTAAAATTTTATTTTTTTTTCTCTCAAAGTTGTTACACACATTTTTTCAATTGGCTTTATTATAATTTTTTTTTATTAATTACACTTTCAACATTAAAAAAACTAAACTACTTTATTATATATTTTATTTAGTGGAGATAAAAGTCAATTTTTTTTTTTAATTCAAAACAATTAATTGTATGTCTGTAATTGAAATGTTAATATTTTTTCTCAAAATTAGGTGTTATACAAATTTTCTCAATTTTTTTATTTATTTGGTTTTATTGTAAAAGCTTTAATATTTTGTAGTAATTACACTTTTAACGTTTAAAAAATTAAACGACTTTATTATTTAATATATGTGAAAACATATGAGTCTCCAAGTATGTTTAAAATGAGTCTTTAAATATTTTAAAATCAGATTTAGGGTTATCATTTAACATTCTCAGCCTGGTGTATTTATGTGGATTAACAAACTCACTGGGAGTTTTAGTAATTATTCCAACTAAAAACTCGTTTCAATTTATTAACAGAATCCCAATGACAAGTACTAAAAACTTGTTCAATCTATTACAAGTTTAAAATTCAGCAGAATCGCATTAACAAGTATGAAAGAGAGTGAACAGCAAAATTGCATTAACAAGTATGAAAGAGAGTGAACCGAATTCCTACGAAAGAAATGTGTGCATTGTACGAAGAATTTGACTATTCTTATTTTCACACGTTGAGATTAAAGAGATCAGTTATCTAATTAAGTACAAGAACATGGCATGAACATCTAACATTCACATTCAGTACATTAGAGATGCTCTAAGCGGATAAAAATACCTTTCTTTCACGCTTTTTAATTTGAGTCAACGGTTTGAACTTCAAATAAGAAAACCAAACTTTATGGGATGGCTCAATTAGAGACAATTTTCCAATATTTTCTTACAAAAATAGTACTAACCAACTATACGGGTTAAGACCTTAGTACAGCATTTGTGTTTACTTAAGTTAATATTAAAAATATACTAAATATAAAAACGTCCTATTTAACAAGAAAATATGCCATTGCAAAATAAACACCCCATAAACTCAAATGCATTGTCTTCTTCCTTTCATATATATAACATATACTTCACTTGCTGGAGAAGTGCCGGTTATATGCCGACTGACGAACACAAACACCTTCAGGAACAACAACAGAAGACGATAAGGTGTAGCAAAAAAAGGCCCATATTTGCACGCTAAATACCATTCTTTTTTTTCCTACTGTTGTATTCTTCCATCAGACATGTTCAGCCCAGAAAATGAAAATTAAATATTTAAATGCCAGGATCAAAAAAAGGGAAGAGAGAAAGCATGGATGTGAATCAACACTGCTTTACATCAAAAACCAGCATTCGGACAAAATGAAGATCCAAAAAACTCTCCATGATCTTCATTTCAAAATTGACAGAGCCGCATCCTGAGGATCATTAAAGGTGCCGGTTTACGCCTGAGATGGGGCAAAGTAACATATTTATAGAAAAGAAATAAAATAAAAATGGCAACACCACGTANATAATAATAATAATAATAATAATAATAATAATAATAATAATAATAATAATAATAAGCACATGCGAGAATGTCGTGTAAGAAATGCCATGGAACTGTTGACGTCAGATTAAATACGTACTCGTAAATCTCCAAGGAACAACTTCCATTGAAGGTCAACCATAATGCCTTCTCTCTTGACCTAGAAACACAAACTGTTGAATCCTTTCAGGCCAACCTGAGTTCAATCGTCTCGCAAAGTCCTCCACTTCCCTGATAAATCAAATAACGGAAAATATGTAACAATTACAGTCCATCAAACATGAAGTTTAATTGGGATGATCGCAAACTCTACCCTTGAGGTTTAGCTAAGATAGAGAACATAAAGTCATCTACAGAAATTACTGACATCCCCTTGATCTCTGATTCTACATAACAGATTGTGCACTCATGTGAGCTCAACAGTGTGTTAGTGAGTTTGAACTTTATTGAAGTTTTTACGGTAATTAAGCTAAACCTCGCAGGTGGTACTCAAAATTGTCCCTTCATCGATAGCCAACATAAGCAATAAGGAAGTGCAAAACAATAGCAGTTGATGCCCACAAGACTCCAAATAAAATCAACTTATGAACTGTTTGACTCCTACAAACAAAATCCAGGAACACCTCCGAGAAAGGCGCAGTAAAAAGGTCAGAAAGGATCACATTTACCTATCAATTTTTTCTTTCAGCACAGGGTCGATATCATCATCCAAATCACACACATCAAACTCATCATCAGAAGGTCCGATTTTGTCGTCCTTGATGTCTAGCAGCTTTGTGGCATTACAAAGATTATGCAATTTGGAATTACTGCACACTGAATCAAGCTCAGTCGACTCCTGCAGCATATAAAGGATACCAATCCAAACATCATACTACTGCATGCATCAGAATGCATGCCATTAAAGCTTAGAAGTGTAGCATAAATCAAGATAATCTTCCGGACCTTATTTGTTTGTGCAATATTTTTCACGGATGAGGTGCCACTTGATTTAACGTTGTGGTTAGAAGGAGCAGGCTTTTGATGATCTTTTCTCTTGCGATTCTTCTTTTTGGGTTTACTAGTTCTGGCCGCCTTAGAATCTGCAAAGAAGTATGTATGAGATGGTCCACCCTTTCACTGATAAACTAAGGGAAGATACGAGGAAGGAAAAAAGAAAACTCTGTGTTTTTCAAGGTTGAGGCTATGGCCTGTTCTCATCATTATTTACAGTTTCATAATAAGTTCTTTATATTCGTGATTTACAAAAAATTACACACTATAGCACAAAGAAAAGGACAGGATCCCCACGGTTATTGTTTGGGAGTCATATCCCTGAACACGAAACTGTAAGCATGATTGTAGCATAACCCAATATGGAGAATTTAGTAAAGGGAAGTTAAAAGGTGAACTTATAAAAGTGCCTTCATTACCTCCATTGATAAAAGACAAGAGATCATCAACTGAGCGCTCATCCTCATGATCGTCTTCAACTTCAATATTCTACAGAAACCATTGGAAGCGAATGTCTGAGCCCTAACTTGCATTGGTGAATAACCATATTCAAGCAATTTATTTTCTCTTCCACATTTCTCATAAAATTCGAATCAGCCAACTTAAATTGTACAATATATAGGAATTATATATCACTGCTTCATGGGATATGAAAATAAAAAGAACATCTTGGGTGGTAAAGAAAAGTACATGAAACAATTATAGAAATCACCTTTATTTGCTCTCTTTCTTTTAATTCTTTCCTCTTTCTAGCATACAATCTATTCAAAAGCCGAATCCTCGGGTCATCCATAGTGTTTTTTATAGGCTCCAATTTTTCTTCCTGTGACAGCATGCTACTAGATATTAACAAGAAAACCTAAAAAAACCCATCGCCAACAAAACAGAAGACAATTAAAAAGGATATTATGAAAGAAAACCTCTGTGAGATCATCAGGCAGATGAAATATCTCTCGTATTTCTTCTGGGGACTTCCCTTCAATCACCCTTGCAAGTGAACGACTCGTGAGATCAACCAGAGGCCTCAGGTGTAGGCTATCAGCAGCCGACGTCAGCTCACAAAGCCGTTTGGTACACATTCGAACAAATTTCTCATCAAAGGTCTTCCTCTCCTGCATTATAGAGTAGTTGAGATCAAGTTTCAGTCGTTTTCTATCCTTGATATAAAATATTATTCTTCTCCCACAGGGATAAACTAATCAAGTCAAGATGAAAATAAACAAAAACAATGAAAAAAGGGGAAAACATAGACTTTAAATTTCGGGATTGATTAATAACCTTGTTAGAGCGCCCTGGTACTTGATGAAACCGACAGTAGTCAAAAATCAGGCTCAATGTAGGAGGATTAACCCTTGAAGGAAGAGAAATTGGATAGTTTTTAGAAGATCCCATGCCGGAACGGATTTCTCGACATATAAATGGACAAAGCATGGCAACCTCTTGCTCCACTTGCTGAATTGAACCATCAGAAGTTTGAAGCCAAACATAAGCCTTCAGCATCTGACAATGCTCAACACAACATCAAATTTAGATCAGTAGCAGTAGTGAAATAAGATGTAAAAATTAGACGAAAAAAAATTGAACATATTCTATGCGCTCCATTTAACAACGTCAGGTCCAAAGCATTCGAATATATGATTTTTTTTGAAAAAATACTACCAAAGTCGAACAACTTTTAAATTACATTGACACCTGCTAGGACATGAATGAATGGGCAGTATAAGTACAATTGCATGATATAAGGTATTTGAAAAAAAAAACATTATGCTAGCAGACAAGTCAAAAATCATTTACACAAATAACATGCAGAAGATCACCACTGATCAGGAAAGATACCTCAGGTTTTATTATTTGACTGTCAGCTTCTATCATGGTACAAGCAAGAAAAGGGCGTCTAGAATAGCACCTTCACAAGTAACACCTGCAGCAAAAAAAATATAAGTATAATTATTACGGCAATTGTCCACATAATAAATCTAAGGTAATTTGTCAAATTTTGCCGCTATATCGTGAAACCCTACTTAAAATGCATCATAGACTAGTCAAATTTGGTGAATAGCATGTTTGCAGGTATTTCACTTGGCTCATTGTGTAGATATCTGTTGTATAAACCAAAATTCTGCTATTCAAATTACAAGTTGTCCAATTGAAAGTTTAAGGCGAAACCTAATAAAATTTTCTACAAAAAAGTAGTTTTTTTTCTTGAAGTTCTAAGTTTAGACAAAAAGGCTTGGATTTAGTTATTTATCTAATTCTATTTTCTTGAAAAAATGCTTTCTCTCTCTCTCCCCCCATGACATGTCCTATCAGAAGTGAAACTAATAGGCCCTCCTCATCCGCAGACACTCAACAAGAATCTATAGCAGCAAAATAGCACATTATCAGTCGTCCAAGTGCGCTGCCAGAATACCTAATTGAAATGGACCTTTGTCTAAGACCAATTTTTACCGGTCTATCCAAATTCTGAGTTCCATCAGCAATGGTAGTGCCATCTCACACCACGACACATCATCCACATGAAACTAATGAGCAGCACAAACAAAATTATCAACTAGTCTTAATCTCCAATGCACCACTAGAGGCTAAATGGGTCTTTTTTAGTCCACGACAACATCATTGCACTAGCCCATCCACTACAACCCAATCATTAGAAGAAAAAAAATCCAAATCAAGTAAAATAATCCGGGTTACCAACCAAAAACACATGGAATTGCAACCAAAACAAATANTTAATAAATTAAATTAATAGTCTTTCCTCTGCAATGTCAAAGAGCAATGCAAACCAAGAAACTCAAAAGCCGGACCATTCTGTAATCCTAATTCCTAAACCATAAAACTTCACATGCTCACAGAGAAGCCGCACAAGTGGTGCTCCAAACTAATGAACTCGAGTGAAAGCCACTTTTCAATTTCTAAAAAAACCCCATTTTTCATTTATGTCACCTGCATCCTGAAGAAAACTATTCAGCTTCAAGCTATATTCGTTGGATGACAAAACAGAACATAAGCATCAATGTCCTATCTTAGGAAAGCTTCATTATTTATCGAACAGAAACAAACCATGGGTGTTTTAACAGTTATTTCGAACTCACAACAACAGTTTCAATTCGAAAAAACATGAAAATAAATAAAAGAATCAAGTCACACTAAATAATGACACCATATCGACTGCATCCTTACACACCACCCAAACCGGAAACTAAAATTCATAACGAAAACAAAATCACCCAACCCGAAGATCAACATGCAGATTGGAAAAAAGCCCTAATTTGCCAATCTTAGCTGATATTCCGTTTAACACAATTCAATCCCCAATCAGAAAAAGAAAACCAGCAACAATGCAAATAAATGTAAACAAGAACATTACCAACCGGCAGTAGAACAATTCTCAAAGATACGGAGCTTTGAAAATGAAAATGGCGGTTGTCGGCCAGAAGCTGAAAAAATTGGATAAATGAGCAAGACGGGGGCACCAGCGAGAAAGAGAGACAGTATAAATATTTAGTATTTATAATCACAATATTGTATTGTGAAAGATTTTTGCAATAAAATGCGAATATTATATTTGTCCGTATGTTCTGGTTAATATGTTTAGGGGCGTTTACTTTGTAGGATGGGATAAGACAAATTAGTCAAGCCCACTCGCCATGTCAGCTTTTAGTCCCTTGTTTACTTTTCGGGATGGAATTTGATTAAATGAGTCCCTCGTTTACTTCTGTGGATTAACTGAGATGATATAGCAAGCACTTCCTAGATTGCCCTTCTCTTCAAAAATCGATTTCTACCCCATTGAACATCTTTAACACATTTTGCCCTAACGAGCCAATATCGACCGACGAGAAGACAACCTCCACTCCCGTCGACGAGCCGCTTCTCCTTCAATTCGACCGTCGACGACGTCCCCCCGATAGCTACGACCGTCGACGACGTCCTTCAATTCGGCAGTGCAGTGAGAGGTATGACAATTTTCCGGCAATTAATGACCTAGTAACCTGTGACTTTCGATTTTCGTCTATTCTTCGTGAAATTGAAAATCTTTGTGCTATGACCAACATATTGTACTGCTATTTGGTTAAGATTCATACAAAACGGATATGCGAACCCCCATCTTTGTGCTTTGAGTGTTTTGAATTCTTTGTGCTATGCGCAACATATTGTACGGGTTTGATTAAGGTTCAAACAAATCGGATATGCGATATTCCATCTTTGTGCTTTGAGTGTTTTGAATTTTTTGTGTTATGAACAATATATTGTACGGTGGGCTTACATATCTGTTTGATCGACTTCATTGGGGCTTTGAGTGTTTTGAATTTTTTGTGCTTTGAGTGTTTTGAATTTTTCTGTCTTTGATCGACTTCATTGTCATATGTTGGCCAGTGGATAATAAATCATCCTTTACCCCGTTCAAAGCTCAAGAACCTGAAGCTATGTTGTTTCGTAGTCTTTTTCATGTGTTTAATGTTTGTAACTGTGCATTATGGGGGATGAATACAACGGATTGGTTTAAGTTGTGACTCAGGTGGTACAGTGGCTGAAATACAGAATTAGAAGGATGCTTGTGGGTTGTGACATATTGTGATTCTGCTTAGTTCTCCATAGTGTGCTTTCTTGGCTGTGATTTATCAATTTTCTGTGAAATGTCATGAAATCTGCATCTGCTTGTGTTGTCAGATTGGATGGTTTAGAAGCTTATTTTTTGAAGTTGAAATGTTGCTTTATTTTGAACAAGGATGTGTAATTTATTTTAGAAAAGTGAACTGAAGCTAGGTAGTTCAAGAATGTTATTAAAATCGAAAGGCCAACTTTGTGTGTTTGACATGGGTACATTGCATATGTGAACTATGTATTAGTTCTTACCCTCTTTTGGTTGCTAACTTCAAGTTATTTATTGCGGCATTCGTGTTGAATCAACTGCTTTACGAGAATGAGCATAAATACAAGTACAGGCTGTTGGTGATGTGTTCATCAGTTGGTAACATCATATTTATCATGTTCAGTATTGTGGCCTATAAACAAATAATTCAAACTGACCCATGTGGATTAGTTGTGCCTTGACCATTATTATCTTATTCTCCTCTTCAGGCAAGCAACATGTCAAATAGTTCTCACACGAGTTCAACCAATCGATATAACAGGGCCCCGTTTGGGGTTAGGCTGTGTGGACATGACGAAGAAGCCGCTGTGTTGACATCAATGACCCCTGAAAACCCAGCCCGAAGGTTCTTTAAATGTCCTCGCCGGAAGGTACAATTTTTATAGTTCACAAGCAAGTTTAATGTGTTTTCAAGTAGTGGTTTTTAATCCGTACATGAAGTTTTGCCTCTGATTTATTATCATTGTTCACAGCCCGATCCGCCTTGTCGCCTCTTTGAGTGGATTGATCCCGAGCTGCCGTCGTTCCAAAAGGGTTGTTTTAACAAGCTGAAGGCTGAAAAGGATAGGTTGCAAGAGCAACTTATGTGCAAAAATGAAATGGAGAAATTGCTATCGGAGAGGTTGGGGTTAAAAGCCATCGAAATCAAAGCACTAGAAGATGCGAAGAATCGGATGATGATTGATTTGGAGATTGCAACAACAGAAAACGTTGAACTACAGTCGAGACTTGATGATGTTGTACGTCAAGCTCGAAAGTTGGAGAAGAAGGTCACATTCATGAAATGTACCTTTTCGTTCATCGTTTTTGTTGTTACACCCTTTTGTTTCTTTAAGTAAGGCTGTGTATAATTAAACATGACGATGTTGAATTGTATTTTATTTTGGTTTAGAAAAACATAATATGTTTTTTAAACAACTGTACTATGATTTATATTTTGGTCATTGCATTTAAGCATTAGTTGGGTTAACATTGCACTGTGATTTCTATGCCAATTATGTGTTTTCATATGACGTGCTATGACAGGTCATGGTGGCAGGTCTAGAGGTAGGCTGAAGCTTGCTTTTTTTTAATGCTGAGTTGACAGGTCATAATAAAGGACTTCACGACCATGTTCAACATTATATGTAATTTGGCACCCTCAAGAAGATATGCTACATCTTGTAAACTTGAAAACAATTATTGCTTTTATTGAAATAGCATGTCACGATATTACAGGTCTAAGGCTAGGTTTCAGCTTTTTCTCCATAGCTGGAGCTGATAGGTCCTTATCATCTTTCCCAATTTAAATAAATTATATTCATTATTGGTCCTGTGGCATTAAATTTATTTGCATCATTGGTACTCTTGAAAGAGCATGTGCACATCACTTAAAAGACCATAAATCGCATTGACTCGTCATCCTTGTAACACCCCGCTTATCAGAGTAAATTTTTCGCAACTTTTATTTCGAAATTACTTATAACTCTTTCGAAATCTTTTTGCGAATAACTCGGGATGCTACTTAAACTCCTCCTTCATAAAAATCTGTTTAACTTTAACTTTGTCTAATTATTTCTTTTAGACATAACAAAACAGATTTATATATATACTTGCATTTAACTATATCATGTTCATACTTATGAAATGATAAAAACTTGAAATCTGAATTTATTTAAAATGCAAGTTCACATATTAATAAGCGTAGCGGAATTACTTAAAAACGTGAATAATTATACAGACTTATTTAATTTATTACAAATGTCCTTTGAAACGAGTACTCGACCATCACCACCACTTTATTTGCTCACACCTCCGGCCCGACCCTGTTACCTGAAAAACATAATGGGGGTGAGTACTGGTCCTTTTGCACCCCGTTAATACCCATACTAAAGTAAACATCAATAATAATACAATATCATGATCTTTGGTATATATATAGTAACTGTAACTTAATCTGGCCGATATATTATCGGATACTTGTGCACAATCTGATGGATATTTGTAAGGCACGTATCGCCTCCATCAGAACTTAGGATATAATCTTCGAGACAAATTAATGCCTCCTCATCCCAAGCGTATAATCTTAAACTGTATACATACCTCGAACATGATAACAATATTATACTCAATGTAATACCCAGTCTGGGTCCCACCTTTCTCCTTTGAAATCGTAAGTGTTGGTCTCGAGTAGCTAACTCTTCAAGCTACATAAAAATACGTAAACAAATATACTAAGTACTATGCTCGTATACTCGGATTTTCAACTCTTTCGGATAAATCATCCAAATCTTATAAAATCTCAATATTCTTGTTATGGTTCAAACTTTTCTTGATCTTTTACTCAATCAAATACTTACTCATATTATTTCTCCCAAATCTTATACATATGGCTTATACTCATTTTTCACTTGATTATCTCAAAAGTGAAAAATAACTCAAATCATACTAAACTTTTCATCATAATATTAATATGTGAGATTTACAACAATCTTTATAAAATTGTATACTCAACATATTAAACTAAAACTTGATCAAATTGCTCATTACTCATATAAAAATTTTTTTTCTAAAAATTCCATTTTAAAACTCAACCATGTACTAAATACTCTTGCATATAAAATCATCTTGACATGTATGCCATATAAATATTTTAACTCGTTCATTTCTCAACATAAAATCATGAAATTTGGCAGTCATGTTCTTAACCCATATATAAGCATGTCGTAAAAATTTCATAATTTTATCATGCGTATATATCGAGTTATTAAAATTTTAAAGTCACAGCTGAAATAAAGAACATAAAATTCAACTTGCATGCTTAACTTCAAAAATTTATAACTCAAGCTATACTATGCCAAATGACATAATTCTTTCACCTATATACTCAGCACTTACACAAGAAATATCCATAATAAGCTTAACATATCAGGTTATGCATATCATGCTCAAATTCAAATCAAAATAGTACATATATATAACATGTGATTGTGCTGGAAACAACTTATTTTTTTTTTTTCATGCTTAAAATTTCTTTAAAAATTGAATATATATTTATGGCATGAAAATACATCAATATTCACTTACTATGACATATGATAAAAAGGTAGCATCTAACCTTCTTCAAGAAATTTGAAAATGGAACTTCGGAAGTTGATCTCAACTTATCTTCGTCAAGATTTCTCTCGATTTTTCTTCCTCACTTTATAGCTAAGACTTTGCTTATTTTTGTGTGAATTTCGAGTCTATGGTGATACCCCTTTATATAGGGTAGCAAAGGAGACAATATCACCTTCTTCACATCAATACTTCATCATAATAAACTCATTAGGGCCCTTGCCATTAATGCTTTTCTAAATCATGCACAAAGTTGAGTAAGCTTTGAAAAGTACTTGTAATGCATGATTCATCTTGTATATATCAAGACAAACTCTTCCATTTGACCAATCCTCCATTATGGGTCGAATTTTGATCCTAAATGGCTCATTTATTGCTTAAAAATATAAAAAAAATGGTTATAAAAATAAATAAAGATAAAGAATAAAAATCATAACTTGTAAACTTCTCAAATCTATAGTCAATGCTTAGAAAGGGCCATCTTGTGATCCTAATCTAATTTCCATGATAAAATTCGTGACTTAATGAAAAATCTCCAATTTACGGAACCGAATTCTGACTTAAAACGAACGGTTACCGAAAAATCGAAAATTCTGAAAATTTCAGATTTCCATCTTTTTCTTTTGGCCTTTTTCCTTTTTATGCTGAAAAAATTTTAGCTCTTAATAATGATCTTGAAACTTGTAAAAAGATACAAGAAAATAAATTTTTCGGAAACGAAATCGGACTTAATTATCGTTTACAACCGAACATCTAAAAACTCGAAACTTGCGAATATAATTTTGAATATACTCTTAATAATATAAATAGACCTTCTTGTCTAAATAA